GGGTTTGTGTTTATACGTAAGGGTAGTTCTAAGGGTTTTATCACATTTATCACCATCTCTATCTTGAAAAAGGGAAGAGAACTCCATCACTAACCGAAAGACATATAATAGTAACTTTTATTTGAGATTATTGAAAAAGAGAGGAGAATTTTCTTAAAGCATGGATTCGGTGAGAAGATCAAATAGCTGTTGTCTTCCTCCTTCGTACGGACAACTTGTGACAATCCTAAGCATCGATGGTGGTGGAGTCCGTGGGATCATTCCCGGTACCATCTTGGCTTATCTGGAATCGCAACTCCAGGTATATATATATGTCTACTACTTTAATCCTAATATAAATATTGGTAGGATCGTTACAAATTATATGGAGGTTTTGCATAAAATTCATATCATCAAAATGTAAAATTTGTAGGCTTTAGAAAAAAAAGAATCTATTGGTATATGTCAAAAAAATCGTTTTTAAATAGCTAATAGAGACTCTAGTTTTTTTTTTTTATCAAACCAAATTTTATAGATAGATTAACCTCCAATCATGGAGAAAGTGTTACGGTACATATCAAACAAATCGGCTAAAACATATGCCGTGCAATTAACATGAAAGATAAAGATAGAAGAAAAGGGGCCTAGAAGAACAAAGATGTCATCTAGGATGTTTTTCTGCTCATTGACAACACCTCCAAGAAGCTTGACAAGAGAGAGAAACCAAAAACACAACAGAGTGTTGGATCTCTATAGTTGAAGCGGCAAAATATGCGGCTTTGAATACGATCATCTCTGCTACTAACACAAGAGGTACAAACCTACAAATGTCAGAGACTTGGTGCAAAGAAATCTTCTTCGCGATCTCAAGGGTTAGAGCTTCTGAAAATAGCCAAGCAAACTCCAACACTTTTTTCCCTACAATACAATCACTCACGAGTGGAGAGACTCTAGTTCATGTACATTAATTCAGAAAGTTTCATGGAATTTATCTTTTTGTGTGTAAAAGATTTATTTTTTTCTTTTGTTAAGAACAAAAGTTAACTATAGAGGAATGTTTGACCTTCTGGTGTATAAACAGAAAAATTTGATGTAAATTTTTTATAAATGACTATTATACAGGAATTAGATGGTGAAGAGGCAAGGCTTGTGGATTATTTCGATGTCATCTCTGGAACGAGCACCGGAGGTTTGATAGTGGCGATGTTGACCGCAGAGGACAAAAAGGACAAAGGCAGTGACCACAGTCGCAGACGCAACCGCCCTTTATTTGCGGCCAACGAAATCGTCCCTTTTTATCTCAACCATTCTCCTAAAATCTTCCCCCAACCGCGGTATGTGCGTCTTAATTAAACGTTTTGCGTTTAATCTGATCCATAGTCGAATAATTCAGATATTTAAAAGATCTGTTTTTCGGATAATGTTTATGTGCCAGAGGGATGTGTGGTTGGGCTGATATCATGGTAAGACTTGTACGAGGACCAAAATACAACGGAAAATACCTTCATGACCTAATCGAAGGTTTCTTGGGCGACACGAAACTAGATGAATCTTTGACAAACGTTGTCATACCTTGCTTCGACATCAAGAAACTCCAACCAGTTATCTTCTCTACTTACCAGGTAATAACACCAATATCAACCCGTCTACATGTATATGTTCGCAAAACCGCATCACAAGTATTGATACAATGTCATATATATATAGGCAGTGAATAATCAAGTTATCGACGCGAAACTATCCGATATATGCATAAGCACATCAGCCGCACCAACTTATTTCCCGGCTCATCGGTTCACCAATGAAGACCATGAAGGAAATAAACATGAATTCAACCTCATTGATGGTGGCATCGCTGCCAATAACCCGGTAAATTCAAAACCCTAACTCCGAAAACCCTAATTCGATAATCATCCATCGGTCATGTGATGTTTTTATACCGTTTGCAGACGATATGTGCGCTTGCGGAAGTGACAAAGCAGATAATGAAGAAGAATCCAGCAATGGGAGACATAAGCCCATTGGATTATACAAGGTTTGTTGTGATATCGCTTGGGACCGGTTCGATTAGGAATCAAGAGAAGTATAATGCGGATATGGCGTCGAAATGGGGATTGTTGTGTTGGATTTTCGAAAATGGTTCAACTCCAATTCTTGATTGTTACAATGAAGCAATTCACGACATGGTTGATTATCAAAGTTCGGTCGTTTTTCAAGCTCTTCGTTCCGAGAAGAATTATTTACGTATCGATGTAAGTTTCTTCCTTGTTTCTTCATTAAATTAGGGTTTTATACTTTGAATTTTTCCAAAAAAAAAAAAATACTTTGAATTTTTTAAAGTTCATTTTGTCACGTAAGAAGAGGTTACCTACTTAAATTTTTGGTTTTACAAACTAATTTGAATTGTTCAAAATTCAAACCTTCTTGGTTATAAAGTTTTTTTTTGAACAATTGGTTATATGATAAGTTACGTTAAATGCCAAGGAATGGTTTCTTGTAAAGATCGGTCTAAATGGTATTTGCTTCTACGAAACACTAATCAAATAACAATAGAATATTATTTTCAGTAAAGGTTCAAATTTTATTGGCTCAAAATATCAATAATGTTAGTGAAATTTCTAGCTTACTATTTTTATTATTGTAATTTTTAGGACGATACTTTAAAAGGTGACTTAGGTTCAGTGGATTTATCGACACAAGAGAACATGGAAGGTCTTGTTGAAGTTGGTGAAGCTTTATTGAAGAAAAGAGTTTCTCGTGTCAATCTCGAAACTGGCCATTACGAACCCATCTCTGATCATGTAACCAATGAAGAAGCTCTCAAAAGGTTTAATAAATTTTCTTTTATAAATAATATATAATAGTAACTCTAATCTTTAACACAAAAAACTGTTAATTTTTACTTGCAGGTTTGCAAAAGTTCTTTCAGACGAAAGGAGACTCAGAGAATCAAGATCTCCTAAACACAAGATTTGATTTACCAATAAATGTGTAAAACTCGATTGTTTGTATCTATTTGTGTGACTACAGATTGACTTTTGCTTTTGTGATCAAAAGAATATTTGAATAAGAATATGACTCTTACAGATTTGACCTTTTGAATAACCAAAGAACAATTTGAGACAAATTTTGAGAATGGTTTCTAACAGGTGGTTAGTATCTCAGCTCCATCTTTGGTTATAAGAATCGTATGCTCGAATTGCGCAGAGAGGCTTGCGTCTTCCGTTACCACGGTCCAATTATCGTCCCACATTACCGGGTTTCTGCTTCCTATGGTAAGCATTGGTTCTATGGTGAAGGTTTGATTCAAGACCATATGTCCAGCTTCATTGTTCCCTGCGAAGAACAAGAAGAAATTCAGAGACCATTCGAATGGCGACAGGGCAAATCCGATATCTGAGTTTAGGACAAAACTTACTGCAGTGTAGAACAACTGGATCAGCATGGAAGACACGTCCAACACCGTGGCCTACAAATTGTCGAACAACTCCATATTTATGTTTATCTGCATGATCACTTCATAAAGATTTGATTTTTCAATATGTAGAAGATGTGAAACCCTTGAATAAAAGAATAATTGCTCGAAGAAATCAGTCTCTTACTGAATGATTTTGCCGATTTTCTTGTACTCAACTCCTGGTCCACATATCGATATCGCTTTGTCTAGACACTCTTTTGTCACCTAGAACCACATTCCAAGTATTAAAGCTCCCTGAACCAAAACAGAAACCGGACTTTTTCTAGAACTGATTAGGCGCAACATTATACCTACCTGGACTAGCTTTTTAGCTTCCTCGTCGACATTTCCACAGAAGAAAGTTGCTGAAGTATCACCGTGATAACCCTGCAGGATCCAACATAAGCATCCAAAGTATAGAGTAAACCCAATTTATTTGACTAGTGAGGGATCAGGGAACGCAAAAGAATAGAACTTACGTTCAAATAAACTGTGACATCAATGTTGATTATATCTCCATCCTGCAAAAAGGCGAGAGCATATATTTAGTCTTCGCGAGTAAAAGACACGGAAAAGCTCTGTTTTTAGCCTTATGAAAACCTATAATAAAAACACACACCTCAAGTGGTCGAGAATCTGGAATTCCATGGCAAATGCATTCATTCACAGATGTGCAAACACTTTTCGGGAAACTTCCATAACCAAGAGGCGAAGGATAAGCTCCATTCTCGATAATCATATTGTGAACTGCTTCATCGATTTCATCAGTCGTTACTCCTGGCTGCCAAATTAAAAAGAAAAATGATGATTGATAGACATTATAAGAAAAAAACTTCAAATTTGAAAGAAAAGTATTCACGCTTTCCTTACCTTAACCAAAGTACCAGCATATTCCCGAACCATAGCTGCAAGTCTCCCAGAAGCTCTCATACGTTCTATACCTTTCTTGTCATGAATTTCAAGCCCACTCGAGATACCGGGAACTTTACGAGAATCCACATAAGGAGGTTTCGTTATATGGTCAGGGACAGGACGACGAGGAGATACATTTCCCGGTCTTAAACGTTTTCTTTTGCCATCAATAACTTCATCAACATTTCTTTAACCAGCAACAAATAAAGTTAATACAGAATTCCTCCTACTAAACAGGAGTCCACATAGATGAATTGTGTCCATTTCTATACAAACACAATTGTAAGAAATTAGTAAACATCATTGATAAAATTACCTTCTATTAAACAAAAGATTGGTTAATCCAGAGAATGTTCTTGATAATTGCATTGAAACATGTCTTCTTCCTGTAAAAAAAACCCAAAATCCGATTTAACACTAAAATCTACGGCTCATGATTCAATCTGATCTGCTTTTTTCATGGGTTTGTCAAAAACTATTGATAAATTAACAGAGGAATCAAAATAGCATTCTCGGCAATCGAAAGTCTTAATCTTTTTTTCAATCCTTTCAAGTAAAAGTAGTAGAACAAGTATAGTATGAGAAGAGAAAGAGAGAAACCTGAATCAAAACGAAAGAGATGAAGAAGTGGTTGGGTTGATCGGAAAGAGTTGTTGTCTCCGAGAAAGGAAGAGAAGATTCTTGGTTGCAGAGATTTCGCCGTCGCCATTTGTGTGGCTTTTTTTTTTTTCACGGCGAGCTTTTGGTTTTATTTATCTGATTCGCCGTCGACCAC